AAGAGATGTCTTCTCCCCCCCCAATTTCTCATGTTTGAAGGTAGTACTAGATGACCCTTGGATTCCCTTCCCACTTTTATACTATAAATTGAAGTTCCATTGGGGTAATTTTGCACAGCTGCATCTGTACCTGCCATTCACATCTTGGAAAGCTGCAGAGAAAGGCTGCCTTGAATTATAAAACTGCTGTGCTGATAAAAGATCCCTCAGATAAACAAACAAGGCAGAGTTCCTGTTGAGAAGAAAAATATAATTGACTATTCCTTTGGTAAATCCATTTGCATGTAAAAATAAAGCCATTATAATTAAGGTAATATGTCACTTGGACGCCATGTGTCAAAGACAATTTCTCTTTGAAGACTTTAGATCCTTTGTCTGTCTGTCTGTGCCTCTTTCTGTCTCTCTCTTTTTCCCCCTTTCTGAAAAGAAAGCTGGTAATTCTGAAGGATGAAAAGCCAAACTTTATAGCCCTGACTTAGTCTGGACTTGAAGAAAAGACATGAACAGTGCCAGTACAATGGTTAACAGATGATCTTGTTGGGCAAATACATATTTTGCATGTGTTCCCAGACATTTTTACCTTAATGTTTTTGAGACATATGGTAAGTACTTTGTCTTTTTTCCTCCTCTGTGGAACTTTGATTTACTTGTATCTTTGCCATATGGACAGCACTGGTTATTAGATACATTAGAGACACATTTTGCAATTATTTTCCTTTGGATTTTGTGAAGGGAGCTATTTTGTTTACTTTAACAAAAAAGACCCCTTAAAATATAACAGAAAAATATTGCTTCAGTCTCTTATGGTAAAGATACGTCTGCCTCTTAAACAATGTGAGCGATGGAACAAAACACAGAATGATGTTTATGATGAACTATTTGTGCTCAGGAGCATCTATGTTTTCTGCCACTTTCTTTGTATTCATTTTGGTTTTGGTTTTCTTTTAAAAAGGTTCACATCATGTGAAACAGAAAATTACTGTTTACTCATTTTTTGTTTATGGATTTAAGAAACTATTTGGTATTTTGAAGGCATTTTTAAGAATAGAAGACTGCTGTTTTTGTCTATGCATGTAATATAAATCTAAGGCAATGGGAACTAAGAAATACCTGTCGTTGCATGAAAAGTTAGTAGTGGCGTTGACCAGGAAAATTCTGCATGCAGTAACTGAATGTACAATTTGAAAAACTCTTTTGATGCCAATTATTCCACTTTTGTTTTATGATACTTGAGGAGACAATGGTGAACCAACTTGTTCTTAAATACTTCCACTGATTTCATTAAAGCTACTTTGGAACAAATTATTTAAAGATTATTGTTTGAATTTGTTGACCATTTCTAAGTGGCACAATTTTACATCAGTGAGTACTCTCATTTATGAAAGGAATTAACTCACATAGTTGTGTTTGATATTCTTCATAAGGCATTTCTTTTGCAGTACAAAAAGAATGTTTACCAGGTGGCTAGCCATATCAAAGATATGATTCATAATATTTGTATTTCATTCATGGACAAACAGAGAGATCCAAAAACTTATCTATATATAATAAGAAGATGTTAGGGCATCATTGAGTTGCTTATTCCGTATCAGAAAGAAGTAATGTTGGATGTCTAGAAGAGACTGAGAATAGGAGAAGTTTTCAGTGGCAGCGTGGGACAGATCTATAGTGTTGAATACTTGCTGTATTGTTTATATATACGCTGCTAATGTGACTTCAGTAGAAAGCAGGAAGAAAAATCTGGTGCGATACAATGGGCTGGGTGAAAATAGGCCACAGCTTTATTGAATCGACAGTTTCCAGCAATTTAGCATGAAGAGGGCAGGGACCCAAGCATTGCTGCACCCAGGTATTTTGAATGCCCCAGCCCATCTGTTGGGTATAATATGAGCAGAAGAACAACACACACACACACACAAACAAAGAAAGATGCAAGTTAAAACCTGTTGTCCATAACCCTTGCGTGCCCTGGAGGTACAGCTGTGAAACCATCCTAATTTCTGGTTAGGTTGCCCCAAAAAATCCCGAGGCTTCTTAAGGAGGCTTCCTCCACCTTGATACATTTATATTGCAATGAATTTTCCATTGCACCCACTCCTTAAAACATCCAAAAGAGGCTAAGCATCTGCAGCTCTGTTTAAAATGACTTTAACATATTTTGTGACCCTGTGGACTTATTTTCAAAAGACAATGAAATATTGGAACAAAAAGGTTAAAAATACTGTGTTTATAAAGGACAAGTCAAACAAGACACACAAACTTCCAAGGACACCATGTGTAAAATCCATTAAA